TCAACGAAACAATGTAAGGGTTTTTTTTAATGTGTGTTCGGGTTATAGTTCCATTCAACTGAACCTACATACAACTTAATCTATCACTAACAAAGTTTTTTCTATTTATGCATTGGAAAGTGCAAAACTTCCGTTTAATGTCATTTCGATAGATTTTCAAATACAACCTTAATTGATAGGAATCTTGATTTGTCTTGGAATAATTTATTGATGACAAGGCTCTTTCTTGTAGTGGGAGGAACTTCAAGGAGCATTCGAACAAGTAGAGTACCTTAGGAACATCCTAAAAAATCATATAGATGAAGGATATGTCATGATGGAATCATACTTTGTAATGCAAGAGGTGACACACTACAAGATTCAAGAGGAGTGGGCTAGACTTGGAGGATTGGGCCAGTCAAGGCCCAATGGGCCTCATGGGCTTGAAGGGCCCAAATCAAACTTCTTATGGGCTTATTTTGATATGACCATTCTTTTTATGTTTTATTGCAAATTCATAGAGTAGGAAGTTACTATATTTTTGGTCTTGTATTTTGACCATAGATTAGAGTTTGTGAACTTTGGGCTAGTAATTGGGCTTCATGGGCTTTGGGATTTTGATACCCAATATTGGGCTCATTCTCTTTCTTGTAATTTTTCCTATTCATTGTATTTCTTGGACCATTGTATTTAGGTCAATAGTTTAGGATTTAAGGAGGATTACTTAAATAAGAAAATTAGACTAACTTATGTTTAATTTGGAAGTCATTTAAGTTACATTTGAGTCACATGTTTTGCACCATGGGTGGCTGAACATGTGCCACTCAAATTAACCCTAAATGACTCACAAATCAAACCTAAATGCACCTTTGGTACCTAAAGTTTCGGCCAAACACATGGGAGCCAAAATTTGAATTCAAATTTCAAATTTGAATTCAAATTTTGGGCGCCACATGTAAGCTTTGACTTAGGCGCCCAAAAGTGTGCATAACCGGATGCTACTTAAGTGCTTCTTCCATTCTTTGTATTCACTTTGAACTTAATGAAATTTGAGAGCATTATTGTCGAGTTTCCCCTTCAAAGTCACCAAGAGATTTCTCCTTCAAAACCCTAGAAGTTCATCTTCTTCCTTCCTTTGAAGTGAGCAATCCATTGCTTCTTAAGCTTGGATACTTCCATCCAAGGCTTAGGCCTCTTTCCATCCGAGATTCATCTTCATTCAAGGGTTCATCAACTTCGGATTCCATCTCCTTTGAAGAAGATCCGTGCCTAGGAGCAGTTAAGGAGAAGAACTCCATTCACTCCTCCTACCTTCTCCATCATGTCATAACTACATCAACCGAGGTAAAGTGATCATCTTATGCAATTTGTCAAGCATAAAGAGATATCATATATGTATTTTTTTTATTAAGCTCCCTTGAGAAATTTTGGTAAAGGGAATGTATATTTCTTAGGAATATTGGATTTCAACAACATACACACCACTTCCCTTATTTTTTTTAAAGTAAATATCACTTTAATCCCAAAAATTAACACTGCAAATTTATTTGGTTTCTAATGTTAAAAAATGCAAATATAGTCCTTGACTTAAACAACCCTTAATCATTTTGGTCCTAAATTTAACATTCTCAGTCATTTGGTTCCTAACATCACTAAATTAATCTATTTAGTCTCTAAATCTAATAACTATCGTCATTTTTGTCTATGAAAATTTGAAAACCTTTTGCCAATTTGATCCAAAATGTAGGGACAAATTGGCTTATGCGCATCAAATTTAGGGATCAAAATGACTTAAATAGTTGCTAAAGTCAATGATTAAGTGTGTTTGGGAAAGAG